CGAAGGTTCCGCTCGACGTAAACGTCGTTTAAAAAGTAACTAATTAGCAGGTCTGAACGAACTTACAGTTCATGTAAAGTAATCTGGACTGGATCTCCGATATCCGATCCTGCCGATGCCAAACCCGATATCAGTCCTGGCCGTCATCAGGACTGATATCCGACCCGGCTGACGGCGGATTGTTGCATCTCTATCACAGATCAGTTCCCGGTTAGGGTCCCAGGTGGGATCTTTAGGTTCTGCTCTGAAATGACGTTGCTCTTTGTCTCCTGCTGCAGCTACATGGTGGATGCAGCAGATCCAGAGAAGATCGAAGCCTCCAAGAACGAGCTGCACAACCTGCTGGACAAACCGCAGCTGCAGGGGATTCCGGTAAGAGCCGAACCAGAACCGTCCCAGTTTACAGCCGTTTGACGTCATGAATAGAGCTGAGATGACGGTCAGAGCGATAACTCTGCACACATGTGGAATAGATTAATGTCAGCTTCCATCAAAATACCAGAAATCATTCAACATCATTCAAACTCCACTAAAGTAAAGATCTACTGTGGACAAACAGAGAAGGTCACTAACTAACCAATGATCAGCAGGATACAGCGATGACATCACAGTTCAGCATGGATTCATGTTTACAAACCAAAGTTTGGCTGCAAGACTTTTGGAATGAGCTCACATCAGCTTTGAAACCAGTTTAAAGCAAATCGAACGGGTTCAAACCGGTTTAGAAAACCTGGAACAACCGGTTTAGAGCACCTGGAACAGGTCCAAACCGGTTTAGAGCTCCTGGAACAACCGGTTTAGAGCACCTGGAACAGGTCCAAACCGGTTTAGAGCACCTGGAACAGGTTCAAACCGGTTTAGAGCTCCTGGAACAACCGGTTTAGAGCACCTGGAACAGGTCCAAACCGGTTTAGAGCTCCTGGAACAGGTTCAAACTGGTTTAGAGCACCTGGAAAAGGTTCAAACCTGCCCAAACCTGTTTAGAGCATCTGGAACAGGTCCAAATTGGTTTAGAGCACCTGGAACAGGTCCAAACCGGTTTAGAGCATCTGGAACAGGTTCAAACCGGTTTGGAGCACCTGGAACAGGTCCAAACCGGTTTGGAGCACCTGGAAAAGGTCCAAACCGGTTTGGAGCACCTGGAACAGTCCAAACCGGTTTGGAGCACCTGGAAGAGGTCCAAACCGGTTTAGAGCATCTGTAACAGGTTCTAACCGGTTTGGAGCACCTGGAACAGGTCCAAACCGGTTTGGAGCACCTGGAACAGGTCCAAACCGGTTTGGAGCACCTGGAACAGGTCCAAACCGGTTTAGAGCACCTGGAACAGGTCCAAACCGGTTTAGAGCACCTGGAACAGGTCCAAACCGGTTTAGAGCACCTGGAACAGGTTCAAACCGGTTTAGAGCACAAGCCCAGGGAGGTTAATGAAACATGATTTGATTAAATATTATTTTATACCCTGAGATCCATCGCTGTGCCTCCTCCTCAGGCCTGACCTGTGGTTAGCGGGCCCCCGGAGGTTTGGGCCCCTAGACTGAGGGCCGCTGCTCTAGATCATCAGACTGATCTGTTTCCCTGGAATGTTTCCTAGTAAATGTTGAAGCTGTGAACTTCCTCTAACCCCTGATCTGTCCTCAGGTTCTGGTTCTGGGTAATAAGAGGGACCTGCCAGGATCTCTGGATGAGAAGGAGCTCATAGAGAGGATGTGAGTCTGCTCCCTGCCTCCTGCTGACTGTTCATGCTCCTCAGCTTCACCTCCTTCTCTCTTTCTCCTTTCAGGAACCTGTCAGCCATCCAGGACAGAGAGATCTGCTGCTACTCCATCTCCTGCAAGGAGAAGGACAACATCGGTACGACGCACCCCGCTGGGCCCTGAGGGGCCGGTCTCTGTGAGAGGGGGCGTGGCCTGGGGGGGGGGGGGGGTCTCTGTAGGAGGGGGCGTGGCCCGGGGGGGGCGGTCTCTGTAGGAGGGGCCTTGGCCTGGGGGGGGCCGCTCTGTGAGAGGCGGCGTGGCCCGGGGGGACTGGTCTCTGTAGGAGGGGGCGTGGCCCGGGGGGGGCGGTCTCTGTAGGAGGGGCCTTGGCCTGGGGGGGGGCCGCTCTGTGAGAGGCGGCGTGGCCCGGGGGGACTGGTCTCTGTAGGAGGGGGCGTGGCCCGGGGGGGCGGTCTCTGTAGGAGGGGCCTTGGCCTGGGGGGGCCGCTCTGTGAGAGGTGGCGTGGCCTGGGGCACCGGTCTCTGTAGGAGGGGGCGTGGCCTCGGGGGGCCGCTCTGTGAGAGGCGGCGTGGCCCGGGGGGACTGGTCTCTGTAGGAGGGGGCGTGGCCCGGGGGGGGCGGTCTCTGTAGGAGGGGCCGTGGCCTGGGGGGGCCGCTCTGTGAGAGGCGGCGTGGCCCGGGGGGACTGGTCTCTGTAGGAGGGGGCGTGGCCTGGGGGGACCGGTCTCTGTAGGAGGGGGCGTGGCCCGGGGGGCGGTCTCTGTAGGAGGGGGCGTGGCCTCATGACCTGCATGTGTAGTAGGGCTGTGGGCTCAGGGCCGGGCTGTGTGGTCGGCGTGAACTTCAGGGGTTTTGTGTGTGAAGGGGCGTGGTCTATGGCATGTGTCAGTGGGCGGAGCCTGGGGTATGTGGGAGGGGAGCAAACCTTAAGCCGTTAGATCAGAGGTCATTTCACGAAGCAGGTGTAGAAACCTAATCCTGGTCCTCTGAGTGTTCGCTTTCATCAGAGCTGCTTTCATTTAGTTCAATCTACTCTAACCAGATCCAATCAGAGTTTAGCGCGTGCGTAACAAGTATGAAAAGCCATGATCAGTGGAGCAACGAGTCTCCATGACAACAGTCAACAGGAAGGGTCTATTTCACCCACTGGGATCTGAATGAAGAAATGGAGAAGAAGAAAGTGTTTAAAAGACAAACAGGCTACAGCTGAAAAGGAGCAGAACATGCTGCAGTTAATGCGTAGCTTTATATGCAGCGGGCTATGGCAGGCCGTTTTATCATTTAGTGAAAGCACTCTGCTCTCTGTGGTTCCGTTATCAAAGTCACACTGCTAGACCGAATATATTTTCTAAATTACATTCTAAATGTCAGTTTGTTTGAAATGGTAATTTTGACGAGGAAAACATTTTTCTATCAGGAATACATGTTTGGTCAAACTAATGCATATCAGAACGGCTCGCCATCTCTCTGAATTAATGCCATTTTTTTTTTTTTAAACCTAATGAGTCTAACGGGCGTAGAAAATTATTTAGATATTTATGAACAAAACTACAACAAGAATCAGACTAAATCAGGAAATGAAGCGACGTGATTGGCTGTAAGGAGAGCAGAGACTGAAGGAAACCTGAGCAGGTTAGCTGTGGGAGGATGTTACCATGGCAACAGAGGATGAGGAGGCGGAGCAACCTGCTGGGTGAAACGGAGCGCTGTGCTTTTTAATAACGTTTATTATTTTCCTCCCTCAGACATCACCCTGCAGTGGCTGATCCAATACTCCAGGACCAAGAGGACTTCCTGAGGAATCAGGCCACGCCCACCAGCCCTGACCCCTCCCTCTCTAACAACCCCCCCCCCCCCCCAGGTGCACTGATCCCTCCAGCGCCGCTCGGATCCGTCGATCACCTGGAGCCGCTCCAGAGGAACTGGGTCAAAGATCCGGTTCTGCAGAACCACCAGCACACCAGCAGACCTCCAGGAAGGTTCTGATCCCAGCAGATGATGGAGGATGTGGGTCGAACCGGAGGCATCAGTGCATCCAGGAGCTCCCTGCCTTCACGGCCATGTTGGTTCCTCCTCCTGTCCTTTTAGTTTCTCCTCCTCCTGCAGAGCGAGGGATCAAACCTTTTATTATTGCACTGTTGCTTTGTAAGATATTAATAATAATGTTAATAATCTAAATGTGAGCTAATCCTGACCTGCAGGACAATAATCTGGTTTCTGTCTGTAATTATGTTTTTATTCATGTTTGTTTTATATTGGTGTTTTTTTTATTGTTTTCTGATTGGTCGAACCAGAGTTTCTGATTGGACCAGCGGCGTCATGTGATCTCATGAAACATCTGCATCATGTTAAACTAAAAGCGTTGTAATCCCGTATTAAATTTTTGATTTAAACTCAGATTATCAGCCTGTGATTCCTTTCTGCTACTCCTACTCCTCACATTTTAAAAAGACTCGTTTCATTTCAGCTCATTTTCATTGTGACCTGTTGGTATTAAAAAAATAACCATTAAAATAATTAGTTTCATGCCGTCACTTTTTGAACTTTTTATCACGGTGAACGTATTAGTGTTCTGTGTAAATGATCCATTGATTGACGGCTCTCCATGGTGGGAGGGTTTCTGGCCCGTTTCATCAGCTGCTGAACGACCTCCATCCTGTCAGGAACCGACCCGCCCATCAGCCGCTGACCTCTGGTGACCCCGCAGCACTTAGCGGGTAAAGGCGGATCCAAAGGATGGGAACATATTTAAGCTGCGACTTTTCTAAACATAAAAGGCGTTTTCACTGACTGAACTTTTTCTTTTTTTTCCCAGTTTTTATTGTCCTTTCTATGGAAGCCCGTTTCCGCCACTCTGTAAAAAAAAAAAATAAACTATCTCATTATAATTAGTTTATTTTTTACCAATTTTTAAGTTAAAATTGAGTATTTTTCGTCAATAGCTCCCAGGTCATGTGACCTATTGACCCAAAATCAGTGTGAATTGTTGGGTCCCCCCTTACATGGGCCCACCACCCATGAGAGGGGCCATAAGGGTCGTATGCAATGTGTGTTGGCCGGGGGAGGGGACCCTGGTGGTCCGATCCTCGGCTGCAGAAGCTGGCTCTTGGGACGTGGAATGTCACCTCGCTGGTGGGAAGGGACCGGAGCTAGTGTGTGAGGCTGAGAGGTTCCAGCTAGAAATAGTCTGTCTCACCTCGACGTATGGTTCTGGTTCTGGAACCAGTGTCCTATAGAGGGGCTGGACATACTTCCACTCTGGAGTTGCCCACAGTGAGAGGCGCTGGGCAGGAGTGGGCATACTTGTTGCCCCCCATCTCGGCGCCTGTACGTTGGGGTTCATCCCGGTGAACGAGAGGGCTCCGCCTAAGGGTGGGGGGACGGGTTCTGACTGTTGTCTGTGCTAACGGGCCGAACAACAGTTCAGATTACCCACCCTTCTTGGAGTCCTTAGAGGGAGAACTGGAGGGTGCCCCTCCTGGGGACTCCCTTGTTCTGCTGGGAGACTTCAACGCTCACGTGGGCAATGATAGTGAGACCTGGAGGGGCATGGTTGGGAGGAATGGTCGCCCCGATCTGAACTCGAGTGGTGTTCTGTTGTTGGACTTCTGTGCTCGTCGTGGATTGTCCATAACGAACACCATGTTCAAGCATAAGGGTGTCCATATGTGGTAAAAAATAAAAAAAAGAGTTAAAATGCAAAATAAATGAGTGTGTCCCATCTACAGAGACTAGTAGAACAATTTCACACTGATTTTGCGTCAATAGGTCACATGACCTGGGAGCTATTGACCAAAAATACTCAATTTTAACTTAAAAAATTGGTAAAAAAAAAAAAAAACTATCTCAATATATTGAGATATTTTTTTTTTTTTTTTTTTTACAGAGTGGCGGAAACGGGCTTCCATACCTTTCAGTCTAACAAGGACAGCAGAACTTCCCTCCCTCATCTAACCCCTCCCTCATCTAACCCCTCCCCTCATCTAACCCCTCCCCTCATCTAACCCCTCCCTCATCTAACCCCTCCCCTCATCTAACCCCTCCCTCATCTAACCCCTCCCCTCATCTAACCCCTCCCTCATCTAACCCCTCCCCTCATCTAACCCCTCCCTCATCTAACCCCTCCCCTCATCTAACCCCTCCCCTCATCTAACCCCTCCCTCATCTAACCCCTCCCCTCATCTAACCCCTCCCTCATCTAACCCCTCCCCTCATCTAACCCCTCCCTCATCTAACCCCTCCCCTCATCTAACCCCTCCCTCATCTAACCCCTCCCTCATCTAACCCCTCCCCTCATCTAACCCCTCCCTCATCTAACCCCTCCCCTCATCTAACCCCTCCCTCATCTAACCCCTCCCTCATCTAACCCCTCCCCTCATCTAACCCCTCCCTCATCTAACCCCTCCCCTCATCTAACCCCTCCCTCATCTAACCCCTCCCCTCATCTAACCCCTCCCTCATCTAACCCCTCCCCTCATCTAACCCCTCCCCTCATCTAACCCCTCCCTCATCTAACCCCTCCCCTCATCTAACCCCTCCCTCATCTAACCCCTCCCCTCATCTAACCCCTCCCCTCATCTAACCCCTCCCCTCATCTAACCCCTCCCTCATCTAACCCCTCCCTCATCTAACCCCTCCCCTCATCTAACCCCTCCCCTCATCTAACCCCTCCCTCATCTAACCCCTCCCCTCATCTAACCCCTCCCTCATCTAACCCCTCCCCTCATCTAACCCCTCCCTCATCTAACCCCCCCCTCATCTAACCCCTCCCTCATCTAACCCCTCCCCTCATCTAACCCCTCCCTCATCTAACCCCTCCCTCATCTAACCCCTCCCCTCATCTAACCCCTCCCTCATCTAACCCCTCCCTCATCTAACCCCTCCCCTCATCTAACCCCTCCCCTCATCTAACCCCTCCCCTCATCTAACCCCTCCCTCATCTAACCCCTCCCCTCATCTAACCCCTCCCTCATCTAACCCCTCCCTCATCTAACCCCTCCCCTCATCTAACCCCTCCCCTCATCTAACCCCTCCCTCATCTAACCCCTCCCCTCATCTAACCCCTCCCTCATCTAACCCCTCCCCTCATCTAACCCCTCCCCTCATCTAACCCCTCCCTCATCTAACCCCTCCCCTCATCTAACCCCTCCCCTCATCTAACCCCTCCCTCATCTAACCCCTCCCCTCATCTAACCCCTCCCTCATCTAACCCCTCCCTCATCTAACCCCTCCCCTCATCTAACCCCTCCCTCATCTAACCCCTCCCCTCATCTAACCCCTCCCTCATCTAACCCCTCCCTCATCTAACCCCTCCCTCATCTAACCCCTCCCTCATCTAACCCCTCCCTCATCTAACCCCTCCCCTCATCTAACCCCTCCCTCATCTAACCCCTCCCCTCATCTAACCCCTCCCTCATCTAACCCCTCCCCTCATCTAACCCCTCCCCTCATCTAACCCCTCCCCTCATCTAACCCCTCCCCTCATCTAACCCCTCCCTCATCTAACCCCTCCCCTCATCTAACCCCTCCCTCATCTAACCCCTCCCCTCATCTAACCCCTCCCTCATCTAACCCCTCCCCTCATCTAACCCCTCCCCTCATCTAACCCCTCCCTCATCTAACCCCTCCCCTCATCTAACCCCTCCCTCATCTAACCCCTCCCCTCATCTAACCCCTCCCTCATCTAACCCCTCCCCTCATCTAACCCCTCCCTCATCTAACCCCTCCCCTCATCTAACCCCTCCCTCATCTAACCCCTCCCTCATCTAACCCCTCCCTCATCTAACCCCTCCCTCATCTAACCCCTCCCCTCATCTAACCCCTCCCTCATCTAACCCCTCCCTCATCTAACCCCTCCCTCATCTAACCCCTCCCTCATCTAACCCCTCCCCTCATCTAACCCCTCCCTCATCTAACCCCTCCCCTCATCTAACCCCTCCCCTCATCTAACCCCTCCCTCATCTAACCCCTCCCCTCATCTAACCCCTCCCCTCATCTAACCCCTCCCTCATCTAACCCCTCCCCTCATCTAACCCCTCCCCTCATCTAACCCCTCCCTCATCTAACCCCTCCCTCATCTAACCCCTCCCCTCATCTAACCCCTCCCCTCATCTAACCCCTCCCTCATCTAACCCCTCCCCTCATCTAACCCCCCCCTCATCTAACCCCTCCCTCATCTAACCCCTCCCCTCATCTAACCCCTCCCCTCATCTAACCCCTCCCCTCAGGGAGCAGTGTGGGGTTAAGGGTCTTGCTCAGGGACCCAGAGTGGCACTTTGTGGGAGAGGGACTTGAAATCAGAACCTCTGGATTCATAGCTCTATGCCCTAACCACTAGGCCACTGCTCCCCCCAGTTGTGCTGCCCCAACTTGTTGCTCACCACATACCATAATGTTTATTAAGATGATGCAAAGTTAAATTTGACACTATTGGTTTGCTGACATCTATGATGGCCGCTCACACTGAGCCTGGTTCTGCTGGAGGTTTCTTCCTGTTCAAAGGGAGTTTTTCCTCTCCACTGTCGCTACAAGCATGCTTAGTGTGAGGGATTGCTGAAGAGTCAATGAGTCGATGCAATCAGCTGGTTTTCCTTAGATAGAAAACTTTGAATCAATCTGACTGGATGATCTGGTTGATCTGGATCTATAAAGTGACCTGAGATGACATGATGTGAATTGGAGCTATAGAAATAAACTGAATAGAATAGAAATAAACTGAATAGAATAGAATTGTTATAAAACTAATAAAATGAAGTCTAAGGAAGTTATCCAGAATTCCTTTAATAGAGCAGTTCAGTTTTTCCTGCTTTACTTTTATACTTCAACTAGTTTTAAAAATGTTACTTTTCCACTTTAAGTGGAGTAAAAAGTTGATCCAAGCAGGATTCATTCTGGGATTAATATTTCTACTGGAAAATTAAACATGGATTATTTTCACATCTCTGTCAGTTCCACGGTGTAGGCAGCAGGGGGCAGCACATACCCATGCTGGGGTTTGTTTCCATCCTGTTATCTGCAGAGGAGCAGATGGATCCACCTGCAGCAGCTCACCTGGCCGTGCAGGACGGCGCCTCCTCAGGAGGGTCAGGGTATTGCAGCGGATAGTTCCAGACTGAGGAGCCCTCAGGATGTAACATCTGGAAGGGTCACTGAGGGTCACGCAGAGGTCACCCAGCCTGGCTGTGGGATCAGAGCCGTGATGCTGCAGCGGCCCCCAGGCGGGACCTCGGGTCAGAGGCTCGGGGACGGTGGGGGGGGCACAGAGAGCAGCTTTCTCAGCAGCTGAAAGGAGGACAGAAGCGTCTCAGGTTGAGACGTGAGCGTCCTGCTAAAACCTCTGCTTCCCACTGTGGAGTGTGTGACCAACAAAGAGCAGGCCTCGCTGGTTCCTGTCTGCAGAGGGAGGGGGTCCCACCGCCTCATGGTTGCCCCCCGCTCTTGTTGTCATAACGATGGATCCCCCCCCCCCCCCCTCATCAGTTTCCCACAGAACAAAAGCTCCCAGTTTTGAAGGAGCGTGCGTGTTGGTGGGCGCGGAGTCATTCACCGCAGATTAGTACACCCCCCCCCAGCCCCCCCACCCCCCCCCAGCCCCCCAAAATACACACTCATAGCATCTCATTCACCCCCCCCCCCCCAGACAAAAGCTTCTTCCTATCAGAGGTTTCTCCCACACTGTGTCCCACTCTGTGGTCTCCTCATGTCCAAACAGAAGCGTCCACAGCTCCTGACCCGCTGGGCCGAAGCTTCCCGGTCCAGAACCTGTGGTACCGGCGCCGTGTCCACTTTGGACCGGAGCTCACCTCACAGTTCCTGTTCCAAAGACTAGTGAATGTTTTAGGACATTTTCCTGATTATAAAAGCAGGAGAAGTACTTCAGGATGGGAACCGTGAGAATCGGAGACCTGGAACCTGTGACCTCCGCGTTACACAATCCCAGTCCTGCAGTTGGTTCCCATCCAGTCGGTCAGAGACGCTGTTGTACGACCAGTGGAGGTCTAGTCGCCTCAGTGTGTGCGTTCATTAGCGAACAGAGGCGGTCTGTTCAGGGCTTTCAGCTCTCATCACTACTAATGAGAACAACAGCAGTGAAACACTCTGTTCCTCCAGCTCCGCATCAATCACTGACCGCCTCCATTTAGACCTCCCTCCTACTCCTCTTCGCCCGGCCGCCATTTAGCAACAGACTGAACAGCAGCTAAAAGCAGCTTTTAATGAACATCAGATGGAGTCACTGTCAGTCTGCTCCATTTAACCTCCTCAGGAGGAGAGGAGAGGAGAGGAGAGGAGAGGAGAGGAGAGGAGAGGAGAGGAGAGGAGAGGAGAGGAGAGGAGAGGAGAGGAGAGGATTGTTCCTTATGTTCCTAACAGAGCACTTCGCTCTCAATCTGCAGGTTTACTAGTGGTTCCTAGAATTTCTAAAAGTAGAATGGGAGGCAGATCTTTTAGTTATCAGGCTCCTCTCCTGTGGAACCAACTACCAGTTTTAGTCCGTGAGGCAGACACCCTGTCTACTTTTAAGGCTAGGCTTAAAACTTTCCTTTTTGATAAAGCTTCTAGTTAGAGTGGCTCAGGTTATCCTGATCTATCTCTATAGTTCTGCTGCTATAGGCTTAGACTGCTGGAGGACATAGGGACCCCTTTTTCATCATTCTGCTTCATTCTATCTCTATTCTCCCACTCTGCAGAATCTGTTAGTTCAATCTCTAACGTTCTGCTCTCTCTGCTTTTTCTCATAGTAGCTTCATCTGGTCTGTTCCTGTTTGGCTGTGACTCCATCCTGGAGAGAAATATCAGCTGTGCTGCTGCCATCAACACCTTTGTTTCTAGATGTTGGAGCTTGGCCTGTTTTCCAGTGTAGTCCTGTTTCTCTGACTGTGACTAACTGGATGTGCTCTCTTCATCCTCTGACATGGGAGCTGGCTCGGAGCTCGTCTGCCTGGCTGTGTGTTTCCTGGACGGGGCCGCCTGTGGAGCTGGTTGACAGTTGCCTTTTGTATCTATGCTTCTTTTTCTATATCTGCTTCTGTCTCCTTGAACCCCAGTGGGCCTCAGCAGATGGCCGCTCACACTGAGCCTGGTTCTGCTGGAGGTTTCTTCCTGTTCAAAGACAATTATTCAATCCCAGGCTGGGTTCTAACGGTCCGCTGCTGTTTTTTCATGGCGATGTTAGAACCACGTTGATCAGAGGAGAAAGTCAGGCTGGATCAGCTGCTCTGCTGGTTCCTCTGGACTTTAACTGGATCTCCAGTTTAGCGGCTTCTGATTCCGACCCGGAAACATTTTTAGTTTGGAGCCAGACGACCCGAAACTTCATGATGGTGACCTGGTCCGGTCCTGGAGAGGTACCAGAGGAGCAGGTTCTACCAGACGTCCGACCCGATGGTTCTGGAGGAACCAGAGTCAGTTTGATTTCTGAGACGGGTCCAATCGGACCCGATCCAGTCAAAGCTGAGGAGGTTCTGACCCAAACATCTCCGCCTGGATTCAGGTTCTTTCTGTTCAGACTTTAACTAGGCCGTTTCTGAGGGATGCTGGACCTGGAACCTCAGCTTCAGCTGCTGGACCCATGGAGACGATGGTCACCACAGTAAGGAGCCCAGATCACCAGCCTTCCTCCAGCAGTGCTGAAGTCAGACTCCAGGTTCCAAACATTAAAGTGACATTTATCCAGAACCATAACAGGTAGGACGGTTTAATAACCTGACCTCAGGCTCTCAGAGCTTTATTTTAGGTTTAGTTTTTGGTGCTTAGTCAAACACAAGCTCTTCTGGTTCTGATCAGAACCGTTCTGGACTCGACCTGACCTCCTCAGCAAATAAAGTGTTTGTCTGAAAGTCTCTTTCTAGTTTATCTTTTTTATCTTCCATTTATTGAACGATAACAGTTACAGGATAAATGTCACACAGGAAATGTTTATCAGGTTTTTTCATTAATGAGGACTTTTCCAGCTCTACTCTACATTTACTGACGGTCGTCTAATAAACTGTTTTCTTAGCAGCAGAGCTTAACTCAGCTAAACGTCCGTAGAAACAAACTACTGCTCCTATTTAGCTTCATTTACTTTCACTAAGAACAAACAAACAACTTTGATCTACAGACAGTTGCCAGGTTTTTCCTTCGACGGGAGTTTGTTCAGTCCTGGAAACAGGTTCCCGCGGTGTGAGCAGGAGTTACGTTTCTAACCGACCAAACGTTGGTTCCTGCAGAGACAGGAAGCTGCAGAGTCCCCAACCACAACACAGCGTCCGGCTGAAAAGGTGAAAGAAAGACGAGCTGAAGAAAGGTCCTGGAGAAGGTCGGAGACATCATGTAGAAGAAAACGTTAACAATAACAAAGGAGCCTTGAAGTTAAATCTAAGAGAAAGAGGGAAACGATCCATGAGGTGGCTCTAGCTGGAAATGGACAAGATGGCCGACGAGTCCTTAGCCTTGTCAAAGAAGATGGTGGTCTCGTTGGGCGCCTTCTGGGCGGAGCCTGGTGAACCCTGGGCTGCAGTTGGCTGGCACTCCTGACAGCAGCAGCAGCAGCAGTCCATGAAGGCCTGACCCAGAGCCTGAAACACAGATTAGCAGAGCTACGTTAGCCGGCATCTGATCTACTGCAGCAGAACCTGCCTCAGTCCGAATATCTGAAATCAGCAAAGACACTTCAGCTACGGCAGGAGAACATCTTCAGGCACCATAATCACTTCTGTCTTTCCAGCGAGGAAGGAGCCAGAACCAGGAAGCAGGAGGCTAGCTAGCATCACTGCAGTTAGCATAGCTCCCGGTTATCCATGGTGTGGCAGACCTCATAGACCTGTTCGCCGTTCTCTCTGAATGTTCACACCTTCAGAGAGCTTTAGCCGTTAGCTCCATTGGTCTAACTTTTCTGTTTTTTGTAGTTCTTTTCCAGGAAGCTGTAGTCCCAGTTGGACCAGCATACCCTGTCCTGGAAAGAGCTCTACTGAGGAAGGAAGGTCATAAATCACTGAGTTTTAATGGCTGAGCTGCTATAAAGGTTCCCAGCAGAGACTGGATTATTAGTCCTGCTTTTGGTTCATGTTTCATCAAACAACCAGTCAAACGTTTACATTTCCTTTAAGAAGTTGCTAAATAAAAACTCAGCAGATCAGCTGAACGTTGTCCTGTTTCTGTTGGTCAACGCTGCATCGCCCTTCGACTGACTGGCGGCAATGACGACGTCTAAGCAAACCTGAGAAGTGGGATCGTTCCTGGTCTTCTGCATGGATTCGCAGCCCAACCTGCTGAAACATTTTGAAATTCTTTAAGTGGAACTCACCTTACACAGACACAGCAGCAGCACCGGCGTCACCGCACACTTTAGGAACAAGAGGAAGTGATGTAACAGCACCAGAATGGCCGCCGTTCCTTCCGAGATGGCGATGTGCATGTAGGCCAGGGTGATGTTGCAGACGTGTTCAGGCAGAGCGCAGACTCCGTACACCACCGCCAACGCCAGCAGGGTGCAGTTCAGCTGCTGCTCCACCGCCTGGTGCTGCTGATGCTTCTGGCTGTTGGACCGGTCGTCATGGTTACGCTTCTTCTGGGCTGAGCTGGAGTCGCTGTTAACGTTTCGGGTGGCCATTTGGCAGAGGACGGTGAAGAGGACGGGGAGGCAGAAGTAGCAGCCGAAACTCCACCACATACGACCCTGAAGGTACAGAGGATGAGATGTGAAGGTAGCCTCGCCGCGAATAAACCGCCACGTCCGATCCAAGAACATCGCTCCGGTTTATCTCACCTGGTGGTACCTGAGCAGCAGGGAGTGGAGGGAATCGGGCAGGTAGAGGGACAGTGGAGAGGATGGGGTGATGGTGCAGGAGTCCACCACCCTGCCTGTGGAGGCCGACACCGCCTGGCTCAGCTGCCACAGGAAGATTTCTGGGCTGGACAGCAGCAGCGCCGAGAACCAAACCAGCAACATCTTAAGCAGCACCGAGCGGCAGCGCTCCACCCGCCGGGCCTTCGGCTGAGGGGAGGAGGTGGCGGCATGGAAACGGTCAATGCCCAGAGCACAAAGAGTGAAGGAGGTCATTCCCAGAGACACCACCTGCAGACAGAAGAAGAAGAACGTTGCTGTTGGAATTCCCAAAGAGTTCCTGCAGAAGTTCCTCATGGATTCAGGAATGTCGTCATCATGCAGAAGGTGGAGGCGTCCCGCCAGAGCTTCTTCATGGACCGATCACTTCGTAGAACCATGTGAGCAACACTAGGATGTAACTGTGTGACAGTTTTCTCATCCAGCAATTAAACAGAGAAATAAACTTTATCCTAAAAATGTTTTGAAAGAAAGAAAAAAATAAAAAGAAAACGGCTTTTATCATTTCCAGCATTTAGATTTTTTTATTATTTTTATTTTTTTCTGTTGAGGCTTAAAGAAAAAGCCTCAACAGCCAGTTGGTTAGCTGAAGCTGGAATGATGATGATGATGTTTCAGCATCTGATCGGGGTATGTCCCCCCCCCCAACCCCCCTAATGCATTAAACTCATTTTATTGATCATCAGTTGCAGTGAATCTCGGACTGAACTCACTTTAAACCTTAGAACTCTGCTGCAGCAGGACGTTCCGGTAGGCATAACAACTGGTTGCTATGGCAACCGGTAGAGGAGCAACCAAGGATTTTTTGTTGTTGTTGCTATGGTTACCGCCTGAACAAACTGCAGACTGAAGATATTCTGAGGTTTCATTTATGTTGATGACGATCCTCGGCCATCCAGGTCGTAGTCATTCCGTAAAAGTTTAAAAAATATCCACCGGACTTGGTTTCCAAGATTTGAGAGGAAGCGAAACGTCTTCAAATCAAAACCAAGTCCTGAGGATTGTTTTTTTAAACGGAAAGAGGTTTCATTCAGTTGAGCTCTGGTTCGGTGAGGCGGTCCGATTCCGGGTTCTATCTTTTTGTTCCTAAACTGAATCTGGCCTTTTTTTTATAAACTTGTTTAATCAGCCAATATTTGACCAAACAGGAACTTATTGCTGCTCTCTGTTGGTTGAAAAGTGTCTCGATGGCAGCCCCGCGTGTTTGAATGATGCAGTCTGCCAGGTACCGTGGACCATTGTAGGTAAATGGCCACTATGACCTCAGCAGAACTTACCAGGTTACTTTCTTCACCCGTTAACTGCCCAAACCAAAACTGTTATAGCATCCATTAAATCAGTTGCTGTTCTTGAACCGTCTGGAGGGTCTAGCCTGTTCTATGCAACGGCGGACAGCAGCCTTACTGTCGCAGAATGATGCTGCAATTTGGAGGCACCACCTGGCTGCCGATGGGACGCCACAGTTTACAGGGGGAGTCTCCGTCAGTCTACCAGGCTCTAAACACCCCCCCCCCCCCTTCCCCAGTGACCACATTAGACCAGGGATGCACATACGGACCACCTACCTCCATGTACGGCACCATGCAGCACGTGATGTCAGCAAGGATCCTCCTGTTGGACAGGTGGTTGAACACCACCACGGGAAGGCAGACCACCAGGACCAGGAAGTCCCAGAATGCTATGCTGGCCAGCAGGTAGTTCCAGGCGGATCTCATGTAGTAGTTGTTCCAAATGACACACATGACCGCCATGTTGGCCACCACACCCACCGCCAGTATCAGGCCAGCCAGGAAGAGAACCCCATAGGCCACGTAGGAACTCTCCACCAGTGGATAAAACGGGTTATGGAGACCTGTGCCATCATCATCTGGGCTGGAGGTGTTTGTATTCAGGTTGTTCTCGTTGTTGTTTTCTACCTTTGTCGAGTTACTGAAGTCTGTGACGTGGGGCGTCGTCACCCACTCGTTCTCAAACGAATGACTGAAGGTGGACTGCTGCTCATCCTCATCCGCGCCGCGGACCAGGCGGAGACGCTGGTCCAGGTCCAGATCCACCATGTCTGGTAGAGGGGGCCTCTCACCAGGGTTGTAGGCATCGTCTACAGGTTGTAGCTGCTTCCTGCTCCTCTCTGGTGGGGCTGTAATATGGGAATTGCTCTGCTGTTTGTTCAACAGCTCACCGCTCTTAGCGTGAATAAAGTGTAGCGGGAGGAAAAGACACAGCCAAAACACAAGTGACTGCGCCATGATCAAGAAGTTTCAAATATTTAAGTCCAACTGAAAGCAGAACTCTTTAATTCAGCTTTATTCTCTAAAGTCCTTTCAGCAAGACTTCAATGTGCAATCAAGCTCCAACCGGAAACGGGAACAAAAAGATCAGCTGGGGTCAAATATAAAGATCCTTATTCAGGAGGAAAAGTTGACAGCTGAAGTTGATCCGGCTGAGATCTTTAGGAGATCCAAACTCTCCTCCTCCCCAAACACTCAAACTCCCTTTGAACACTCCTCTCTGTTTGTCCCATCCATTGGTAATCCAAGCAGAGCTCCAGGAGGGGCGATGGTACGCTGAGGCTCCGGATCCCTGACAGGGCAGCTGCTTCTGGGCTGCAGGCAGCAGAGGAACTGGCTGTCCGGGGCTCTGAGGGTCTTTGGGAACAAGCAGCCCTCTGCTGCACGGCTGGTTGGAGCTTTTGTCAGGACTGGCATACAAACAAGGCTGGCGCCCTCACAGATACACACAGTTGTCTTGCTAATCACGCACGCACACTTTCTATTGGTGCTCTTGGCTCTGCCTTTCTCACACAGACTCACAGCGTTTCAGGTCTGCTGCCCTCTGGTGGCGAGACAGAAATTATCTGATAGAAAAACTAAAACCTTTTATGGTTTTAAAGATGATGTAAAGCCTAAAATAAAAAAATCAGAGGCTATAATCATCACAGAAGGTTTCCTGTTTCCTCACAGGGGTGTTAAAGAGAGAATATCAACACATTTTTATCTGATTTCACTTTATTTGAAACCAGTTTAGCTGCTGTTTGAAAGCAGGTTATTATTGAGCCTCCTTCATTTTCCGTTTAATTATTCAACCACTGGGATGGTTGATCAAACTGCCTGAGAAAAGTCTGACTCTGGTCCAACAGCTTCGCTGCTTCAGGCCGCTGATTCAGACAGAAGCAGCAATCGACCACAGAGTCCATCGAGTAACCATGGCGATACGTGAACACACACTGGATTTAACCGGTAGAAAGCTGCGAGGTTAAGAGGAATAAAATGAAATACTGTTGGCATCAACAGAGAGAGGGGCGGCATTACTGAGAGATTAATAAAATCTGACACATTTATATCGTCATAAACTGATAACTTTAACTTTAAGCTCTGTTAGCATTTAAAATTAGTTTATTCTTAGTTTTTTATTAACCAAAATGTCAGTTTTAGTTCTGAGCTGCTTTGAATTTAGAATAAACAGAAATATGGCAGCAAAGAATCTTGCTTGGATTAAATACATAAATGAATGAATGAATGAATGAATGAATGAATGAATGAATGAATGAATGAATTAATGAATTAATGAATGAATGAAGGAATGAATGAATGAATGAAGGAATGAATGAATGAATGAATGAATGAATGAAGGAATGAATGAATGAATGAAGGATGAATGAATGAATGAATGAATGAATGAATGAATGAATGAATGAATGAATGAAGGAATGAATGAATGAATGAATGAATGAAGGAATGAATGAATGAATGAAGGAATGAATGAATGAATGAAGGAATGAATGAATGAATTAATGAATGAATGAATGAATGAAGGAATGAATGAATGAATGAAGGAATGAATGAATGAATGAATGAATGAATGAATGAAGGAATGAATGAATGAATGAATGAATGAATGAATGAATGAATGAATGAATGAATGAATGAATGAATGAATGAATGAATGAATGAATGAATGAATGAATGAATGAATGAATGAATGAATGAATGAATGAATGAATGAATGAATGAATGAATGAATGAATGAATGAAGGAATGAATGAATGAATGAAGGAATGAATGAATGAATTAATGAATGAATGAATGAATGAATGAATGAATGAATGAATGAATGAATGAAGGAATGAATGAATGAATGAATGAATGAATGAATGAAGGAATGAATGAATGAATGAATGAATGAAGGAATGAATGAATGAATGAAGGAATGAATGAATGAATGAAGGAATGAATGAATGAATTAATGAATGAATGAATGAATGAAGGAATGAATGAATGAATGAATGAAGGAATGAATGAATGAATGAATGAATGAATGAAGGAATGAATGAATGAATGAATGAATGAATGAAGGAATGAATGAATGAATGAAGGAATGAATTTGCTGCCCTGTGGTGCTGAATTCAACATAGAAGACACAGTTTGAGGCTCAGACCAGTTTAGCTGCTGTTTGAAATGAGGTCATTATCCTTCATGTTCAGGTTCATTTATTCAACCACTGGGATGGTTGATCAAACTGCCAGATGCATCCGACGTCCGGTCGGATGCATCTGGTCTTAAACCCAAATAACGAGGAAATAAGCCAGACCTGGGCGACTAAGCCTGGATTATAAACTAAGCCAGTTTAGTTTAAAGGATCCGAGATAAAGTCAGACTGAACTTAACCTGATCTGAGCATCATGGCTTCATCTGATCCTCCAAGCCAGGATCCAGGTGCAGCTACCTGAAGGCAGCTAATAGCAGGTCTACAGTTTGCTTTAACAGTCCAGGAAGTGTGCTGATGAAAGTTCTCAGTCATCCAGGTCATAGTCATTCCAAAAAATTCAAAAAATATCCACTGGACTTGGTTTTCAAGATTTGAAGACGTTTCGCCACCTCAACCCCCCCCCTTTAACGACCGACCCCTAGAATCATAGACAGGTTCAGATATTACAGGCTAACGATGGAACTAACGACCCATTCATCGGTTACCATTTGCATGTTTCCAAGCAATACGAGGCCTTGTCCATATAAGACTCAAACTCACTGCGGATCCAGACATTTGAATTGAGAAAGCTGCCTGGAGAGGTGGAGAAACGTCTTCAAACCTTGAAAACCAAGTCCAGTGGATATTTTTTGAATTTTTACGGACAGACCAGGAAGTCGATCACAGACTCATTGATTAAGCAGGTCGACTCAAAGCCAATGAGCCGAAAATGTACATTTTCCAACCATTTCTCTGAAAACTGCATCATTTAGGCCGGAGGTCTTTAACAGGGGGGCCACGACCCCTGGGGGGTCCATAGAGGTACTGCAAGAGGGTCTCGAAAGTTTTGGTTGATTAGACTTTTTTTAATATCCCCACTGCAATTATTTCCACTAATCTAAATGTGTTTAAATCCACATGAACATGAATCCAACAGACTGTAGTAAACAGATAAATGGAGGCAGAAGATGTCTTTCAGGCATCAATGCTCACATTCAGAGACACACAGGAGCTCTTTCAAGCTGGACACCGTTTCATTCACAACACCTGTACCATCAACCAGGAATCAGAAATACTTTAATAATCCCAGGGAGGGATTACTTTAGTTACATTACTCCATCTGTAATAGAGTGACTATAGGATCAGTTTGATAGAACACTATTTCATAGAATATATATAATCAGGGGGTCCCGCTCCATCGCCATCAGTTTGGGGCCGTTCACCAACAGCCGGATCAGAGCCTAAACCAGCGCTCCTCCTGTTCTGCTGCTTCTTCTATGCAGCTCCTGTTGGGTCCGGTACTGTAGAATCACTCTAGATGTGGTTCATTCTTCTGGAGCCGGGGAGGTTCTGAAGATGCGGTCGATCTTTTTAATGCCAAATACAAACTGATGTTGCAGCAACTAATGCTGCAGACAGGAAGCAACCAGTAAAGGAGAATCAGATCATCCACGGAACGCTCCACGGGTTCATGGTTCTATTCTAGATTTATGGAGAAACCACAGATGGAGGCGTCGCAGTAAAGGAATCACAGCGAGCTACTCCTCTGTCCTGACTTTAACTTAATCAGCAATTCCTCTGACCAACACAGCAATGGTCTATTAAAGGCCTTTCTGTCAAATGTTGACAGAAAAAAACTATAAAGCTAATAATGGTTCAGGCTTTAATAACGATGTTAACATAATGAAAGGACTCGACTGTAGTAAAAACCAGAAATGAAAACAGAATCAGTTTCTGATCACGGTCACTGCTGGCTGAGCAGATAAGGCAGAAAGATTAGCCAGTCCTGCACACAATCAATCACCATGGCAACGGATGTGCTAATGCTTCTAGCAAAGCTTAACTAAGCCAGGATATTCAGAAAATCCAGACTTCATCTGTTCTCCTGGTTTTATGGAGCAGGTGGTGCAGGAAAAGCACCGCCTGTCCATGCTTAGTCTAAACTTTAGACCTGGAATGTCCAAAGTCGGTCCTTGAAGGAATCTGTCCTTCAGGTTTACAAGCTGAGTCTGCTTATTATAGTTCAGCAAAAGCCTGTTAATCAGAAATCAATGATGCTAAAGCAGAGAAACGGTGGCCCTCGAGGACCAACTGTGGGCAGGCCTGCTCTAGACCAGTGTTTCCCAACCGGCGGTACGTGTACCCCAAGTGGTCTGCGAGCAGTCTGGATGTAGAGAACAGTCTGGATGTAGAGAGCAGTCTGGATGTAGAGAACAGTCTGGATGTAGAGAACAGTCTGGATGTAGAGAGCAGTCTGGATGTAGAGAACAGTCTGGATGTAGAGAACAGCCTGAGATCAGCTGGCTTTCAGTCAGAGCTCATCAAAGCAGTTTAGGTGTCTGGATTAAAATAAAGTCAGTCTGACTAGTTTAAATGTGATTTTAATGGAGTTATTCAGAGGAGCTCCAGTTTAAAAAATACAGGTTTATTATATTATTTTAATTTGTATTTATTTCGATGCCTTACTAACTTCCAGGAAACATTTATGTTGTTTTTTTATTTCAGATTGAAAGGATAAAGTTATAAACATGAAATACTCTAATTAAGATCAGGTTTAGTTATTTTACGTTCCAATTTTGGACAATTTCAAAAGGACAAAATACCCAAAGAGGAACAGAAGGTATAAAAAAGGTTGAGAAACACTGATCTAGACCAGCAACAAGGACCACAATGGAAGCCCTCTGCTGCCACCTAGTGGTCAGTTATGCTAACTGAACCTCATGCTCTACATTACATGCTTAAGTGTTTCTTTGCTCAGTATTAAAATAGCCAAACTGATGATTTCAATTAAAAACTGTTAAACAGAAAAAGCTCAATCATATATTTTTCATATATTTAGGTAAATGAACCCAGTAGGAGGAAAACTTTATGTCTCTATGATGTCACTAATGAAAATGAGGAAGTCAGATTTTTCTGTGGTTTTCAACATTTGTTTGATTGACATATTATCAAGATACATTCATAGAGGAAAAAAGACCTGAGTGCAGACGATGAGTGTGCACGTTTGCAGTGAGCGTGCATGTTTATAATGAATTTCCATGTGTCTGATGAGCATGTACATTTTAAATGAGCGTGCACGTATTCGATGAGCGTGCATGTGGTTGATGAGCGTGCACATATTCGATGAGCGTGCATGTGGTTGATGAGTGTGCACGTATTCGATGAGCGTGCATGTGGTTGATGAGCGTGCACATATTCGATGAGCGTGCATGTGGTTGATGAGTGTGCACGTATCCGATGAGCGTGCATGTGGTTGATGAGTGTGCATGTGACTG